TAAATTGATATGAAAATGAATCAAAAAGTTCATCACATTCTTGTTTGAAATATTGAACCGTCCTTTATGAAACCACATTTATGTAGCTTTGTGGTCAGAATCAAAAATTTGCATATATATAAACCACTATCTTGCTGTTATCTGAACAATACATGGCCAACCTTTACTTGCTCGACTAAACTAAAGAGATAGCCGTGAAGAAAACAGAGCTTCATCGTGATCCATTTCAACCAAGCAGAAAAAGTGCTCCATTATTGAGCAGGATTAGGCAGAATGGATGCCCCCGCCACCGCCGCCTGATTGGTGTATCGATTTAATTATGAAAGAAGGAGACCAAAATAACCCAGGACCTCTTGTCATGACTTGAATTAAAGATTTTCCTGTACAAGTATAGAAAGGTTTTACCGTCTCACACATCTGAAAGTTATGTCTAGGAGATTGCTCTGTCTGGAATATTTCACGGCGCGGCATTAGGTCCATTTTGTGCCTGGAATGTCCCACTGTACGGCATTAAACCTATCTACCTCTGCGAAGACAAGTAGGTGAGTTACAGGTCAGATCTGCAGCGAGGCGATCCCGCTCGGAATAATAAAGCATGAGTTTCCAAGGCAATTTGAGCAATAAAAACACCAGCAATCGAATAGACTGAAGATGGATCACTTTAATGCCATACTGTGGAACAATCCAAGCAAAGTAACAACATAGTGCACATTTAATCTATCTGTCGTCATGGAGACAAGCAGTTGATGCCACTACAGCTCAGATCTGTGGAGAGAAAACCCTGCTCACAGTAAGAATACATGTAAAAAGTGTATTTGAATAAGAAGTTTAATGCTGTATTGTGAGACATTCCAGGCAAAACAAACGCACCTGAAGTTACGAAATGCATCTCTATAAGCAACTAAATATGAAATGAAAATAATCTTGCAATCCTCAAATCAGGGTTAAAAAGCACTGAATTCATTTCAGACAATGTAACTCTAATGTAGATATCCTTTATGTTTAAACAGGTATCAGGGCTTTGTTGCTTTATTCTCCATGCAGCTGTTGTTTTGGGGGAAGGGTTGTTTGTGTGGCTGGGTATATATAACTAGCCTGATTCATTTTACTTCGTTTCACTTCGTACAAACCGTCTGACCTCGCAGCATTAGAATTTGTTCGTTCGACAGTAGCCGGGTACTTTTTCATTTAACCAATCGCTGATATTTAGTCCCATATGCGCCAATTAATGTTACATGTATTATTTATAAGCCGGTTGGTCAAAATAAAACAAAACTAACAAGTAAAAAAGTTAGAAAATATGTCAAAGGGCTTTAATACTCTGTTTTCTAATCTATGCTATAATGTTGTAGCCTGATTCATCAGACGGTTTCACTTCGTAGAAACCATCTGACCTCGCAGCATTAGAATTCGTTTCGCTTGACAGTAGGCGGGTACTTTTTTTTATTTAACCAATCGCTGCTATTTGGTCATGACATATGTAATGCGCGGCAAACAGGGCTAACTGGTATATTAAGCTTTTCCCAAATCCCATAGGAAGAAGGGCAATAACGTCTTTCCTCTTAATAAATTCACCAAACATTATCTTTATTCCAGCTTTAAATCCTCGATCTCGGGAATCGGTGCCAACGCAGAATGTATCACTCTTCGCTGATTGGCTGGTGCCCGAACTCGCACTTCTGGGGTTTTTGCGAACCATCTATTGTATTTTGATTCCTGACCTAGTTACTGGAGAGAAATGAAATTGAGCAGAGGCACCCTGGCTAATATATAAAATCGTGAGAACTAAAATCGGTACACACATATCACGGGGTAGCTGCTTTCCTTATGAGGTTCCAATTATTTAGATTTTTTTATAGTATTAGATCAAAAACAATGATTTAAAATTAACATATGGGTTTAAAAAAATGTCCTGTACCCTATGTATTTGAACAAAATGTACTGCACCTTGCCCCAGTACATATTGTATAAGCAGTTCTTGAGGTCACTGTACTGATTAGTAAGCATTATATTGTCTGATAATCAGGACGTGCACATTAGTATGCTCGTTGTCGTTGGCTTTTTGTTACGGCCAAACTCCACAGTGGGTTCTGAGAGTAATGCAAAGCTTATTAACTTATCATTGTGATTAATTAGAATGCTCGGAATGCATAAAATAAGCGTGGAACAACTTTGGACCACTGCAAAACTGCTTAAAATGACTTGTTTGTTTTCACCCAATCAGGTAGAGCGCCTTTACGTTTAAGGATTAGGGTGAGGTTGGGCAAGTACTGACTACGGTAAGTAAACCCAGAATGTGTGTGTGCGTGTTAGCCCGTTGCAGCCACACAGCGCGCGCCACACTACAGCTGTCAATCAAAGCCCGCGCGGCCCCGTGGGAGGAGGGGCTCAGCGCTCTTGACAAATCCCTCCACCAGCTGTCTACAAGCGGAGTATGAAAGCACCATCAGTATGCACGGCCCGTCACCGCTGTGTCAAAATGCTCCGCAAGCTATTGTTCGACGCACATCACGGGCAAAACTGCCAAAAGTATTATCTTGTAACGATTACTTGAACTCTTAAGTATATTTGGAAATCTACCACACCTTTTTGCTAATAATTTTCTGTTTTATGTAGGTATTGTTCAATGCACAACATCACTGAGCAGCACTGCAAAAAATAATAACTATGAGTTAAAATTACTTAAATTCTGTAACTTCATGGCGACCAAACCAGACCAAGATACAGGTCAGATCTAGGTATTTTTGAGCTATAAAACCACCTGTCATCGAAAATATGTAAGGTAGAGCTGTATAATGTCATACTGTGGAACATTCCAGGCAGAGCAATGACCAAAAAGTTGCACAGTGCAGCTTTAAACCCAGAACCTTGACTTGAGAACATTTGAACATCTAGTAACTTGACACTTTTTCTCCTATTAAGTGGTCTTTAAAAACACATTAGACAAATTACATTTTCATTGATGATTAAGAGGTCTATATTATCACTATCTTTTTCTCGTTTTTAATCTTTAATTTTATGTCTACTACTCTGAGCATGATACTGTGATCAAGAAATTCATATTGGGGAAAATGAATTGGCCAATTTACTTTATTATTGGACAGTTGCCATTACTTTTCTAGATTTGGATATATTTTCGTGCTGTTTGAAATTCAAATTTGGTCGAAGTTGCCGTTGAAATCCACTTGCAGACTTCTTCCTTTTTTTCTTTACAAATATTCTTGTCCAAATTAGTAAATTCGCCCAAATAACCAGCAAAAAAAATTTTCCGCCTCCCCTGCTTCTAACTGTAAAGCACCATAATCAGGAAGGGCACGTTCGCATGCTAGTCATCATTAGCTTTTCTGTCAACATTCGGAAACATTCGTTAGTTTAACATTACGAAACAGACGCATTTGAACTAATACAAATATGTCTTTTTGCAGAGTAGTCGCCCGTGCATCAGATGCCAGCATTTTAGTGCCCCATAATCAGGAAGGGCACTTTAGCATGCTAGTTGTCATTAGCTTTTCCGACAGCATTCAGAAATATTCGCCAAAAACATCAAATTAGTTTAACATTATGAAACAAACATTTTAACTAATACAAATGTCTTTTTTGCAGAGTAGTCGCTCGTGCATCAGCTGGCAGCATTTTAGTGCGCCATAATCAGGAAGGGCACGTTCGCATGCTAGTCATCATTAGCTTTTCCATCAGCATTCAGAAATATTCGGCAAAAACATCAAATTAGTTTAACATTACGAAACAGACACATTTGAACTAATACAAATATGTCTTTTCTGCAGAGTAGTCGCCCGTGTATCAGCTGGCAGCATTTTAGTGCTCCATAATCAGGAAGGGCACGTTAGCATGCTAGTTGTCATTGGCTTTTCGATCAGCATTCAGAAATATTTCGCCAAAAACATCAAATTAGTTTAACATTATGAAACAAACATTTTAAGTAATACAAATATGTCTTTTTTGCAGAGTTGTCAGCTGGCAGCATTTTAAGTGGCCCATAATCAGGAAGGGCACATTAGCATGCTAGTGATCATCAGCTTTTTGCCAAATATTGTATTGTATTGTACTGGTAAATCCATAAAAAAAAGTCTAATTGGTTAAATATGATGAAACCCACACATTTTAACTACTACAAATATGTCTCTTTGCAGTGTAGTCGCCGTGCATCAGCTGGTGGAGCAGTTGCAGCAGCTGTTCTACATTAACTAGCCAAACATGTGTGATTGACAGTCTCGCTTCAGCTTTTTTTTCACACTTTTCTCTCACTTCCCCTCACCGTCAGTGCTGTCAACAAGCCATCTCGCCTAATACCTCGTTTCCTGTGGATCGGGTGTGAAATCTATCATTATTAAATGGCCAGCAGCCTTTAACCCCTCTGGTCTCCTCTGTTTTCACACCTCTACAGAGAAAAAGCCCACTCTCATTTTACCTTAAGAGCCACAGGCAAAACAGGAGCCTATTAGAATGAATGGCACCTGGAGCGTTATGAGGTCTTACGCACGTGCTAATACAACAAGAGAAAGGTATCGAGCGTTAAGCTACAGTGAGGTGAATGCCAGAGGTACAGAGAGGCCAAATCATTTAGTCAAGTCAAGATTTCCATTACTTCAAATTAACTTCACTCTTCAGTAAAAAGTCACAGTACAGTACAAAATGTTGGTAAATTCTACAAGTCAGGACCCGGCCACAATGGATTTCAGATTGGGAAAAAAAATCCAATTACAAACTGAAATGCACGTCCTACAGTAAGGTACAAAAATCTACTTACAAATCTTGTCATAAGGTTAGAGTTTTTTTTTTTTTACAATATGAACTTTTTAGAAATTGTTAAAAACGCCTAAAAGTTAGTTTAGTTAGATGGACCATATTCAGGAAGGAACAAAACAACTCTCCCAGATCTTATGATTACACTCAAGTACAAAGTCCAAAAAAAACAACAACAAAAAAAAAATTTCTTCTGCAGCAGCACACAAAGAGCCAGAGAAAAAAACTGTTCCTACCTTCTTGAGGCGTCCGCTCTTGGTGCCGACAAACGCCACGCAGTAGCCGTTGTAGACGTAGGAGGTCACGGAGGTCATGCGGTCCCTTGTCTCCGTGTACAGAGTGTGACCCGTGACCAGCTGGGAGCCCCCTAGAGGCTGGTTTATGTCAAGACCACAGAACGAGTCATCGATGGGCACCGGCTGGAAAGACAAGAGACATTTAGTTAGGGAGAAGCAAAGGAGAAGTGATTTGGACCAAAGCAGACAACAACAACACGCATGTTTCCTGTAACTCATGTTTTCATTTGTCTGATTCTATTTGGTTAAGTCATGATAATACTCATAATAACAAATGCACTTTTTAAGCACGATTTAATATATTAAAAACGTTGACTTGTTTGAAATGATTTATTTGAAGTCACTTAACATTAGCTTTTTCATTCACACTGACTGCACACTGGTAAACTGCTTAACTGTAAAACATTTTTCCACCTCTAATGGCCACTCAAAGTGCTCTACACTAAGGAACCACTGACCCATTCACTCACCCATTTACACACACATTTGTATACCAGTGTAAGTGTAGTTGTGTCTTGCCCAAGGACAGAACAACAATAGACAGCTGAAGGAGCAGGATACCAGCAACCTTTTCCAAATATGAACTGAGTGACAGCACCAGTGCCCATAAAGTTGATAGTTAAGACAACCAGTTTGGCACTGGAGCCACCTCATCCAATCCTAGTTTCTGACAATGAATGAAAGTAAAAGTAAACAGCGCAGTACTTTATTATTATGGATGTAACAATAACCGAAATATTGTGATATTGTATCGTCAAAAGTCTCACCATAATATCATGGACCCTCACAATATATCAAATCACAAGTTCCTTTGGCTTAAATACATTGTTATTTAGTAGGAACAGGTTATAAGCATCAGGAACTACATATCCCATGATGCATTTCAGTGCAAACAACATGAAGATATATGTTTTTTACTTGAACTGACAAAAAAAATTCACACCAAAATCTTGTCAAGGTATTTTAAAAGCAAAAAACTGCCCCATCTACCATTTTAATACTATGAACCAGATATCATGTGTTCTTAATAAAGATTGAATTGAATTATATTCACCTCTTCAAAATATCGCAATAAATATCGTACCTTGAGATGCATATCGTATATTGTACCGTGAGATGTATAGATATCGTTACATCCCTATAATACGACAATAAATGTTGTATTAAATGATGGTCAAAGCATTTTATAATGTCACTCTTGTTCTCGTATCATGAGCCTTGGATATCGTTACACCCCTATTTATTACCAAGAATATTGACACAGACCTCTTAGTATGTAGAACCCTGCACACTTGTATATAGGCTTAGACTGACAGTGTGCCCTCGAGGCTGTTGACTCAATAATGTGTTTTGCCAAAAATGTGTTGTTTTTGTTGCGGACAGGCCAGTATTTACTCAAGGCCAACATTCCCACACCACAAAAACAAACTTTTGAATTTGGACACTCAAGTGTTGACGTTTTGTTGCAGCTGTAGGTTGCAATCACATAAACTGTAAAACCATCCTAGCACCTGTTTAGACCGGAAAGTCTTTGTGGCTGGAAAAAGGGCTAGATCCTTGAGTTTGAATAGAGTTTAGATAGAGAAGTGAACAGATCTAAAATGTGTTTCTTACAACAATTTTGAATGAAATATTTAACATCCTGAAAGATAATACAGACAATAATAAAAATTCAGATATAGGCAAAGTGATAAAAAGTGACAAGCAGTGAGAGACAAACAGTATTATACCCAAAGCCAGTTCTGCCAGGGCCGTAAACACAAGCATGGGGGCCCACAAGTCAATACAAGGCCCCATGAAAATAATGACATTCTGCTTCATATAAAAACAGCGCTGTAATTGCCATTTGATTTTGCCTGTTTTTATTTTTTGTTCCTTTTCAAGTTCATCCCTATTTGAGCAAATGCATCTTGCCTCAGCACAGATTTATTGTAAAAGCAGCTCTTGAGGTCAAATATGAAATCTAATTATAAAGCTCTTTAATGTCTGATAATGTGGAATTGCGCATTAGCATTCTAGTTGCTGGCAGAGCATCTTGCATTGGAAAGAATAAAGCTAGAAATAACACAAAGTTCAGCCAAGGTGAGTGATCAAAGTTGTGGAAATATAAAGCTATCATCAAAGTAACACGGAGGAAAGAGAGAGTGAAAAGACAGGGACAGAGAGAAAGAGAGAGAGGTCAAAGGTCAGCAGAGGTGCGTGAACTAGTCATCCATTCAGACGAGCGCTTGCTTTCTGTTGGACGTGGCAGACATGTTTGAGGTGCGGATGAGTGGGCTGCTCCATGCTCTCAGCGAGGCTCATTACCCCGGCCAATCATCACACCTCTGCTGGATACACAGGCTGAATAACAACAACTCTACCTGGCAACTCAAACACTATAAGCGCTCACTGATGATGGCAGTGAATTTACTTAAAGCTCCTATATTATACACAATAGATTTTTGAGAGATTTAGCCATGTTATAATGGTGTTACCTCATTATAAACAGACCTGGAGTTTTGTTTTGTTTCATTCACACATGTTAACCTTTGTTTATTAGTCTGTACACATCTCTAAAGCTCAAAATATTTTAATGTAAACAACTACATTTTACTTTTAGTTCAGTAGAGATTAGCAATTCTAGGGCTGAAATCATTCAAATGATTCTAGTGAAGGTGTATGGACTTTAAAAACACAGTGGAGCACTTCCTGTATTACCACATGACATCACAAGGTGGAAGACAGTGTTTTCTGTTTGAGAGAAAAAGTCAGCCTACATCTGCAGAGTTTGTGTGTTAAATGTGTGAATGAAACAAAACAAAGCAAAACTTCGGGTATTTTTGTGATGTGGAAACAACATTATTAGCCAGGCTGGTGCCTCCACTCAATTTCATTTCTCTCCAGCGACTAGGTCAGGGAATCAGAATACACTGGACGGTTTGTAAGAACCCCAGAAGTGCGAGTTTGAGCACCAGCCAATCAGCGAAGAGCTATACATTCTGTGTTGGCAACGATTCCCGAGATCGAGGATTTAAAGCCAGAACAAAGAGAATGTTTGGTGAATTTTATCAAGAGGAAGGACATTATTGCCCTTCTTCCTACGGGATTTGGGAAAAGTTTAATATACTGGTTTGCCCCGTTAGTGGCGCATTACATCTGTCAAGACCAAATAGCAACGATTGGTTAAATACAAACAAACAAATCCTAATGCTGTGAGGTCAGACGGTTTCCACAAAGTGAAACCAGCTGATGACTCAGGCTACAACATTATAGCATAGATTAAAAACCAGAGTAATAAAGCCCTTTGACATATTTTCTAACTTTTCTTCTTGTTAGTTTTGTTTTATTTTGACCAACCGAGGAGCTTGTGGATCAATAAGGCTTATAAATAATACATGTAACATTAATTGGTGCATATGGGATTTGGATTAAACTTTCTCAACTCGAATTTTCCAAAGAAAAGTCAAAAGAATAAATGGAACAGTGAGTTCGGCATGCACCCACCGACTACAGAATTGCCATTTTGATCCTAAAGTAATCTATATACTGTTGTTGTGTCACTTGGCAAGACACTTCACCCACACTACCTGAGTTGTCAAAGGCATCCGGGGTGAGAACTTGCTAAAGCACTGCACAACTGGTTTACTGTGGTGATACTGAATAAATAAAAGGAGCAAGTCAAAAGGGAGAAACATAAATAAATAAATCAGCATTTACCATGTGTCAAAGGAGTAAGTTGAATGAATAGTTTATGTGAAGGACTTCAACTACCAACAAACTGATGATGTAAGCAAGAAGCCATGTTCCAGTCATAGTCGATGCATGAGTAAGCATGAGTAACATTGTTCATATCTTCATTTAAAAACAAAACACAGTGTAGTATAAGTATATGTATAAGTCATATATTTATTTATGAAGTTGATTCAGAAGGATGTACCAAAATACACTGTACGCAGACAATGCAGATTAAGTGGGGAAACAGTGTGTCTGCCCAATTTAGAGTCAGCAGTGCGGTCAGACGGGGGAGATTCTGTTCCGAGTTTTATTTAATGTGCATTTAGATGAACTGTCAACAAAGCTTAAAACTGGTTGGCGAGAAATCTTGTTGTGAATCATTTAATGTATGCAGATGACTTGGTTGTTTTTAGTATAATGCAACCAAGAGTGTGGTCATGATCTGTAGGACCAAAAAAGATAAGCACATTGAGATATTTAGACTTTTGCCTGTTAAATGTTGTGTTGACTGTTACAACAATAATTAAATATCTTGGGCTCATCATCACTGCGTACATGGCAGATGAGGACGATATGTATAGACAGTGTAGGACGATCTGTGGTCAGGCAAATACTCTTATGTGTAAGTGTAGTTCTTGTACAAATGATGTAACATTGTTATTGTTTAAATCATAGTTTACACCTCATACCACAACCCAATTACAGCCAAATTACAAAAAAAGACAGTTTATAAAGACTGCAGGTGGCCTGTTAGTTACTGCACGAGTGAACACTTTGCAAGCTGCACTAAGAATTTTAATGTACAGTTTTATTTGCAGGCTGAACAAATCAGACAATGAAATAATAATGTCACTTTCAAATATGAGATTCAGTGCAATAAGATATCAGTCCAGTATGTGGCGACTGGAATGGTTGTCTTTTAAAAACATACATGTTTGTTGTTTTGTAATGTCACTGTCATTGTCTGTCTTAAAAATGGACAATGAGTCCAGAATAAAAATGAACTGAACTGAACTGTATTTTTTCTTTTAAATGGATGTATTAAAAAAAAAAAAGAAAAAAAGTCCACTATGTAACATTTCTATTGGAAGATTTGCCAGCTGCTTGTCTCCATGGAAATGTTATTGCATGTCCTGGAATGTTCCACGGTAGGGCATTAAACTTATCAATCTTGCATTTATTCAACTACAGATATTTTATTAAGAAAATAAATCTCTGAAAAAGGCTGCATTCAGACTGCAGGGCTCAATTCCGATTTTCTTGTGAAATCCAATGTTTTTGCGAGGTCGTTCACATTTCCAATTAAATGCGACTTGTATGTGACTCCAGTGTGAACTTTAAACGGCCCAAAAGTGTCCCACATGTGCACTGGAGACACGATGACGTCAACAACAGCGAGCGTGCTC